TGTAGCAACCTCGACTATCATTTGGCGCTGTAAAATTAGGTCTTGTACCAGATTAATGTAAGATTAGCAAATATCTACCTAGAATGCCTGATAAATAAAAATGTTAGTCAACTAGCTTGAAAAAGAGTTACAAAAACAAGAAATTGTGGAGAGCCATGATCGCCAACGTCCTGAACAGAAGAAAAATAATCATAATCGATCTTCATAGAGCGCTTACTTTATAAGTACTTGCTCCCTCCAGCATGGTAGGTTTAATATATTAAAGATTAACGTAGAACCCCGCTTGCGTACGTGAGGCAAGTACTAAAAACTGCTTAAGCTTTTTTTGATATTTCCTTTAGAGGTTTACTCAGACATTAAACCTTACTCTAATCCAGATCCTAACCTATTTAAAAGTACAATAGGATAGGTACTGTTTGAAAGGATAGATCCCTGAAGGTGAACTGCTCTACTATCTATCTATCTATCTATCTATCTATCTATCTATCTATCTATCTATCTATCTATCTATCTATCTATATTTCTTTCTATCTATCGAAATATCTGATCGTCTTCAACTAAACACTACAATCATAGCTATCCAGTTCTTCCTTCCCGATTCCGGTGTAATCTTTCAGTTGATCAGTGAAGGTTTTTGCTGGCCAACCTTTTTATCTTTTCCTATAAACGAAAAGTGAGACACTAAAATCCGAAAGCTCATTGGGATAGCAAAATATGCCTTGCTAAAAGCGAAGCAAAGTATTAAGAAACATGAGAATTTCTCTAGAAACAAAAGAAAAAGAGTCCTGAGCTGTGTCCTTCTTTGTGTTAGTGAATACTGGACAGTCTCCTCATAGAAGAAAAGACGTTAAGCAACAGAAATGTGTTTCTACTCGTGGGGATGATTAGAATACCATGGACCAAATGTGTGGGCAACGCTGAAGTTTTATAAAAAATGGAAACAAAACAAAAAATACTTATACTTAACACCAGAAAGAGACAGTTAACATTTCTAAAGCATATAATGAGGAAAGAGGTTTTGGGTAATTAGATACTCACAAGGGTAGTTTCAAAGCAAAAGACACAGAGGAAAACAACGCGTAACCTACCTAGAGAGCTTGAGTAAATATATGGCAAAACAGGATTTAGGATAGATAACAAAAACACACTATTTATTAAAATCTACAAAGAACAGGAAGAGCTATGATTGTCAACGCACTGAGGGGACACGTCGCGTAGAAGAAAAACGTATAAACTGATACACAATTTACTTAAATTATTTACATTTTTCGGACTGTTATCTTCATCTTCATTGCCATATTCACAATGTTTCGGCCGTTGTAAGCTCCGGCCTTCTTGAGGTGATTATAATTTCGAACCGAACCTTTTATTTCGTCCACTGAGGTAGAATGTTCTAGTTCCACGTGCCATACCTCTATCGGATGTCTCGGTTATTTCCCTTTAACTCAATTCTCCAAGATTGGTTCACCACTGCTGTGGCCTGGTATTGAACTCACAACTCTTTGCGTCTAGTCACTGGATCTAACCAAAGTCTTTATCCACTGGGCCATCCGGAAGATGCATGGCACGTGGAACTAGAAACAATCTACCCCGGTGGACAAAATAAAGAGTTCGGTTCGAAATCATAATCATCTGAAGAAGGCCGGAACTTACAACGGCGGAAACGTTGTGAATATGGCAATGAATTTGAGGATAACAGTCCGAATAATGTAAATAATGTTAGTAATCATAGTACCTCATCTCAGAGATATAGACTGATATACAATTTGTTTACTTATCTACCAACCTATATTTCTTGATTTGGATTTCAACTAATATTTAGTACTACGCTCGATAGTAAGAGTAAATTGCCACCTAGTTTTTGTGGACAGTGACTTTGTTAATAACCAACTGATTGTCTCCTACAAGACGAATGTTTCTCTTGTTGATCTAAAATTTGCCCTTTCATATATTTTTTCCTTTATGACTTCTTAGTCGGTATTCACTTTTGATAGTGTTATTCATTTCATTGTAATACTTATATCTATATCTTTATGTCATGAGTTCAACCATGATCAATGATATAAAAAAACAAAATCATTCACTTGATTTAGATTGTCACCTTTGAATGAGATTTCTTTCTACTTTGTTAAAAGACATGAAGTCTTTTAATTTCATTTATATGGAGTCCAGTTTGTGTTGCAACAGATTCTGTTATAGGTGAAGCAAATATTTCTAATGTGACGTAGGCTTATCATAAAAAACTGAAATATACATTCATTAACGAGTTTTGCATATTCAAATATTGATTATTTATAGTTGGAGGACAGCTGCATACTAGACATTTGCATCCCGGACAATTGTTATCAGACAATTGCATCCCTGGACATTTGTGTCCCTAGACAAATGCGTCCATGAATAATTGCGTATCTCCCATAATTTTCAAAGCATTCAAAGGCAATTAACAGCTCTCTTAAAAACAAAACTGCTCTCTATTAATCACCACAGAGACCCTTCCCTGCCCTCCATTAGAATGTCTGACGCTAAACTTCTCGAGAGCACCTCTCTGCGGCTGCTCAGTCTCACGTTGACTGCTGACCTGAGATGGAACAAATACATTGAGTCAATTGCTTCGTCCACCGCAAGGAATGTTGGCTCCCTGTGCCGCGCCAGGAAATTTTTCTCCCCGGAATCGATCCTCCGGATCTACAAATCAACAATTCGCCCTTGCATGGAGTATTGCTGCCATATATGGTCTGGAGCCCCTTCTGTTTGCCTCGGGGTTCTTGATAATCTCCAGAGGCGGATATGCAATATAATTAGCCCTGTTCTGGCATCTCGTCTACAGTCAGTTTCTCACAGACGCGCCGTCGCCTCTGTCTGTCTTTTTTACAAATACTTTCATGGTAATTGCTCCGAGGAGCTGCATTCGCTGGTTCCCAGACTTCATGAATTCAAGCGCCCTACGAGGCTGACATCCCGCTCTCAGCCTTTCACTGTTGAAACTGTTAAATGTAGCCGTCTCTTCTACTCCAATAGCTTCATATCTCGAACCTCTCGCCTGTGGAACTTCCTTCCCTATTCCAGTTTCCCTGAGAGCTATAATCTCCAACTATTCAAATGTAATGTCAATCGATATCTCCAGTTGCCTTGATCTATCCACTATTCTTCTCCTCATCCTTTCCTCTATCACTCCTATCTGATCTTGCTCCAAATCTTATGTAACCCCTTGCGTCTTAGTGGCTTCCCTCCTTGCTTGGGGTGAAACACTTAAAAAAAAATTGAAAAAATCCCTCACTAGAGGCTCCACTCTTATAAACTTTTGCCAGATTCTTGGGCGCCTAGCACATAACAAATATTAACAAAATCATTTTTTGGTAACTGTTACCGTTGTGAGTTCGATCCTCACTGGGGACTCCGCTATGATAATATTTTGCCACATAATGGTAGTTTAGTATTCGTAGAAGTGTAGCGCAAAGCAAATGTTAATAAGCGTATTTCTCGGGTAACTGCTAGTATAGCAATTTTATCATTTAAACTTACTATGAAAATATCTACTCCTCACTGTGTATATATATGTATGTGTTCATGTGAATGTATTTGTGCATCTACACTGATATATGGCTCATGCACGATAGGTATTCCGAAGAAGAGGCACAAGCATCAGTTGGTTCATTTTCAAATAAGTTGTCGCCCAACCCATACAGTTCATTGCTCAACACAACACGCTACCATTCCCTAGGCCTGTTACTGAATCTTTCGATCCTACCTTTACTGCGGCAAGAAATCGTCGTCGAACGCGCTGATATGACGGACGAACATAAATCCCAGGAGTTTGCATTCTATGTCAAGTTATCGAAAACGCTGTGCCTCCAAATTTTGACGGAAAAGTCATAATGTGGCGTAATTAACGACAATCTGTATAACAAATTCAAACTTTCCAATAGTAAAATTCAAACTTTCCAATAGTAAAATTCAATTCACGTTGTAGCAACACCATCTTCGATAACGACAGATTACTCTGGACTCACTGATACGATTATATTTTAAGTACTTTTTGCAGTGAATTATTTTTCAAATGTATTCCATGCCATAATTTTTCTGTAAACATTAACTAGTTGACTAAATGCAACAAATAAATTCCAAACTTGAAGCTTTTACCTTACTCTTAAAAAAGAATGGCGTCGAAATTTACGAAAATGTTCTGCCTGAGTTTCAATCATGAGGAGTTATCATTATTAAACATTTGGATAAATTTCCTTACCTCTCTTGTTACTGTCACAATGTTTCTGTCGTTATGCTCCCAGGGAATTTTGAAATGAGCCCTTTATTTAATATACAGGGTAGATTGTTTTTATTCTGCTGTGCATTTCTAAGGGAGATAACTTGTCTTGTTCTTTTTTTAGTACTATTTGGTTCAAAATTCCCGGAAATTATCCGAATCAACAAATATCGAAATAAGACCGGAGGGTAAAACGGTAGAAACCTTATGATAACAATATATATGAGAACATTAGACAGTAAATAATATAAATAAATAATTCCAGTATTTATTATCTGATTTTATATTACTGTCATTTATTTTGTGACTATAAAAGGGTGCTGAAAATTAGGCACTGAGAAAGAACACTCCCCCACCCCAAAATATTTATTTGGTCATTCACTAAATTTTCAGCCCCTCTAACTCTTAATAGTAATTAATTTAAGTTGGGATCAAATAGAGATCAAATATGGATAATAATCCGAGAGAATGATAAGATAAACAAAAAGGAAATGTTTATCACTCTAACATGTTTCACTTTAATTAAAGCTTCATCAATGAATGAGATGTGGAGAAAAAAAAAAGGAAGAAATTCTAGTATTTTTACTCTGGTGTTCTTTGATTTTCACTAGTTAATCAGGATTCACGTGCATTCGACCTGTTAATCAATTATAATCACGCAATCTAAAACATATTTAAAATTTCCGTTAATATACATTTCCACATTTAAAAAGTAGTAAACTAAATAATATAGTTAAACAAAGATACATTGAAAGAAGCATAATCTCTGTGTCCTCTACGACAAGGCCAATTCAGATTATTGTCCTTATAAAATTAGTATTGATACGTACATTTTTTTTAAATAAATAAGTATTTTAAAAAATGGTGTTTCTACCTCCGGATTTTCCAGAATGGTATTAATTTAGAAATTTGCTTCTCCTAGACTGATTTCCTCCCAGGCGATAGAACCCAGTCTATCCTTCTATTTACCCATAGCCGTGGGGAAAAGAAATGAATTCATACCTTTCTCAAGGGTATTAACATGGAAGTAAATGTAAAGAATTCAACTGGAATTTGAACTCAGCTCTCCGAATTCGAGACGCAATCCATTACTCCACCATATCTCCATGAAATAATTTTATATATATATATATATATATATATATATATATATATATATATATATATATATATATATATATATATATCATATATATATAAATTTATATATCATCATCAGAGTTATTTCGACTTGAAAAATTATACTGATTTGCATCAGTATCATTTTTCATCTCCATATATATATATTAAAGACATATTTTTATGTTTAACGTTGTTATTTTTTATAGATACAAGTATTTAAGCAAATGCTCTGTTTATGATAAACAGTATTAAATAACATTTACCGGCCTGAATGTCCGAGAAATTTTCATAGAAAATTTTCGTTCTTTGACAGGATTCGAACCTGCATCCTATACGGAACCGTCATATACGCTGACGTGCCTTATAAACTCCAACTTTCCATGAATCTCGTACATTCATAACTGCTCTGGCGTATCGAATGTAAACAAATGACGTCATATATTAAGAAATGGACAAGGTCCGACAATTTATTTATTAAAGACATATTTTTATGTTTAACGTTGTTATTTTTTATAGATACAAGTATTTAAGCAAATGCTCTGTTTATGATAAACAGTATTAAATAACATTTAATATAAGCAGTAAATTCGACCTTGTCTACCGATTGGTTCTTTGTAGCTCAAGCGGTAAGGCACGTCAGCGTATATGACGGTTCCGTATAGGATGCAGGTTCGAATCCTGTCAAAGAACGAAAATTTTCTATGAAAATTTCTCGGACATTCAGGCCGGTAAATGTTATTTAATACTGTTTATCATAAACAGAGCATTTGCTTAAATACTTGTATCTATAAAAAATAACAACGTTAAACATAAAAATATGTCTTTAATAAATAAATAGTCGGACCTTGTCCATTTCTTAATAAATATATATATATATATATATATATATATATTTCATCTCATATATATATCTATATATAAAGAATATATATATATATTACTGAGATGAAGTCATATTCAAATTTCTATTTCGACTTGAAAACACACTGCAAATCAGTATCATTTTTCATCTCCAGTAACTTTATAAATATCAATCCTGACCCCCTGTCTTGTGCTAATACACGTAAATCTTTCAGGTCTTTTAAGCTCTTCACTATTATTTTTTTTTTATAGAGAATGATGGTTGGTTCTTTTAATGTCCTTGTTCAATGCGTATATGGATGTTATTTTTCCATTTGGTATTGATGACAAAAACAATTTCCATAATATTTATTGTCTACTTTCAAAGCTTTCAAAATCTTGTGATGTCAAACTTCACTATTAATAGCCAGTCATTCATTGATTTTATATTTTTGGAGGCAGCATACATCTATGTCATAGCTATCATCAGCCAATAATTCTCGTTTTAATTTTTTCCAAAATCTTCTAATATTAAATGTCCCAATGGTAAAATCTTTATGTGCAAATGGAAGCATTTAAAAAGATTTAAATATGAAACAGTCAACATTTAACGGTTGACAGCCAAAAACGTCATAACCATTTCCGCCAAACATACAGTTAAAGTAAAAAACAAGCGTTCTTATATGTACAGGGTGATCGAAAAGTAACTCCCCATTTTAAAATACTTATAATTTATTTATTAATTATAATTTTTACAAGAAATGTATATGAGAGAAAAGCGTTTAGCATGAGGTTTTATTTAAAATTCGATATGGGCACCAGATTTCACTATTAGCTTCTCGAACCTCCCAAGAATCACGTCAATTGAATTCACCAGGAACACTTATAGTATGGAAGATATAGCTTCTTGCATTCTCCCTTCAAGTTCTTCCAAAATTTTGGTTTAGTGTAGTAGACTCGCTCCTTTAACCAACCCAAAAGAAAAAAATCACAGGCTGTTAAATCAGGCCACTCAGATATAAAATAGGAGTTACTTTTCAATAACCCCTATATAAGAAATTTTTATATATATATATATATATATATACACACACATATACCGTCATCCACAGACAGACTGTTTCGCTGTTCATCAGTGTGGCTAGACATCCGGTTGCCTCCAGCTAGGGTCGAAACCCGACTGAACTGGTGTCAGTCGGAGATTCTAACAATTAAGCCATCGGCGCACGATAGGGAGGAAAGTGGATTTTTAGCGTGTTTATCTTTATAAACACGCCCATATATATATATATATACATACACACACACATATATATATATACACACACACACACACACACACACACACACACACACACACATATATATATATATATATATATATATAGTTCAAAATAACAAACAACGAATGTCTATTATATTTGATCATGAGCCGTTCTAAACTTCGTATATTTGCTTTAATTTCGAGAGAAAATGATGACAAAAATTCTCCAACATTTTGATATTTTTTTATTATGATGTTCCTTGATCTAAGCTTTCGGCTAACATGAAACATCTTCAGAGTCGTTATACGGACATTTAAACAAAGACATTCACTATCAAAGATGATATTCTGTTATGTTGACATAGAAGATTGTTATATGACGATAACGTTTGCGGAATAGGAGATGCAGGTGGTAAATTTATGATGCGGTTCTATGACGTTATTGTCGCATAGCAATCTTCTATGTCATAACAGAATATCATCTTTGATGGTGTCCATTTAACCTCTCTGAAGATGGCTAGAAAGCTTAGATCGGGGAACAGCATAATAAAAAATATCCAAATATTTGTCAATTTTTGTCTTTTTTTTTTCTCCCGAAATTAAAGCAACCACACGAAGTTTATGGTGGCTCATGATCAAACATAATAGACATTCGTTGTTTGTTATATTTAAAAATATATTTTTCAACAATGAGATCTGTTGCTGCAATACATTATATATATATGTGTGTGCGTGTGTGTGTGTGTGCGTATGTGTGTGTGTGCGTATGTGTGCGTATGTGTGTGTGTGTGCGCGCGTGTGTGTATGTGTGCATTGTTTTCTGAGGATCGCAAAAGCGTGAAACCCAGGGTTACAAATTCATATCCATACAACTGAATATATATATATATATATATATATATATATATATATATATATATATATATATTTATTAAATATAACGGACAATGAATGTCTATTATGACTGACCATGAGCCGTTCTAATGTTCGAATGTTTGATTTAATTTCTGGTGAATGGCTTGGAAAAAACAGCCATATACATGATATTAGGCATATATTAGTTGATATCACAATAATACACGCGCTTAAACACAGTAAAAAGAAACTTTAGATATTGGAAGCTATCTACATTAAAACGAAGCAATCCACTCTCAAGAAAATTATATTTCAAATTAGTGACAACACATTACATTACATGTAGACATTGGTTCTGTTGTAATACTTCGGTCTATCACGTGGATTGACGTCATAGAACCGCATCTTGAATTTACGATCCGCGTCTGCTCTTCCGCGACCGTTAACGTCGTATAGCAATGTTATATGTCAAAATAAGATAATATCATCTTTGACTGTGGATATCTTTATTTCATGTCTGTATAACCACTCTGAGGATGGCTGATGTGAACCGAAACTTAGGACCAACTTAATGAAAGAAATATTCCAAATGTTGGACAATTTTTGGCGTTATTTTCACCCGAAATTAAAGCAAACATTGGAACGGCACATGATCAGACATAATAGAAATTCATTGTCGGTTATATCTAATAATATATGTTTATATATATATATATATATATATATATATATATATATATATATATATTGAATGATTTAATTGTTTCTTTCTCAGCCCAAGAGTATTAACAGGTGCAGTAATATTTAGTCAGCTGGTCTCACTATGGTCAAATAAAATGAATGTTTGTAATACATGAAATATTTTCTTCGACACATGAAACTGAATTTAAAAAATGTTATTTGGTTGGTTTGTTTTCTACGGTTTGTGAATACTTTGCAGGTTATTTAAAGCCATAAAATATTTTTAGATTGTAAGAATTTTTCAAAGATAATAATGATTTAATGATACAAGTATTACTAATTAACTCATAGCTAGGGGAACAGATGTGGTTTTTTATCTTTTCCTATGGTATTTGGGTATAACGAACCCAATAGGAATTGAGACTTGGCTCTTTGATTAATAATTCTAAGCCATTGTCATTAAAACCACTTGTCCCATCCAAGCTTACAGCATGTGAATCTATCACCTCCTGTTGTCTATCTATCTATCTATCTATCTATCTATCTATCTATCTATCTATCTATCTATCTATCTATCTCTCTCTCTCTCTATATATATATATATATATATATATATATATATATATATATTATTCTGTTCATATCTATCTATCAATCTGTCTGTCTGTCTGTCTGTCTCAGTCTGTTCATATACATCTGCCTATTCTCTTTACATTTATCAACCTGTCTCTTCAGTATATAAATATATACCTGTCTATACATTTCCATGTGCACGCATAATTATTATGGCAATATATAGCTATTTCAGCCCATTATACACTCCCAGTCTCTCCCTCCCTCTCTCTCTCTCTCTCTCTCTCTCTCTCTCTCTATCTATCTATCTATCTATCTATCTATCTATCTCAGTCTTTCCTTGTTTGTATCTCTCTCTCTCTCTCTCTCTCTCTCTCTCTCACACACACACACACACACATTAATTTTCCACAAAACTCCGATATCGTAGACCTTTCCATGTATAGCTAACGGATTCTTCCTAGATCATCAAAGTATGGGAATTTGATCATCAGCTCTTATGGCCCAAACAATCTCTCTGCATTTAAAAACAAATAAAATATTTATTTATTCTCAAGAACGGCTTTTGTTTTGCGTTCATATTATTTGTTTTTTATGGTCAAATCGAAGATCTTTATACAATTCGCAGAAAATCACTTTCCTTGTATAAAAAAGCCAGTTTTTATATATTTTACTTGGTTACACTCTTGCGTCTTAATATTTTTCCTGTTGTTACTCTCTTGTCTGTCTCTACGTAAACTTTGTTTAATATTTTCTCAAATCTTATTCACTTTGTATTTTAACGTGTTTTTTTCCTACTATTTTCACTTAAGTGTATTATTAGTAGACATTGGGTGCACAAATAAATACTACCAAAAAATCGCATTTTTTTTCGGCATTTTCTTTTAGTTGTCTTCAGAAATTTCCATCTACATTTTTAAGATATTTTATGCAGAATTTTACTCTAAACCCTTATTCATGTACTTTCGACAAAATCTTTGTTGCATTCTTCAATCAATAATTATTCATCTACGCAATCACGTGTAATTCTTTAATATTTTTATTGAATCTACAGTTTTTTACACTAGTTATTCTTTCTTTTCATTTCATATAGATTTTAATGTTCTTTCTTCCTAATTTTCTCTTCAAATAGATTCTAGGTTTTTATATATCTTCCTTACTACAGAGTCTACATTTTCTTCTATGTAAGATATTCATTCTGTTTTTATCAGACGAATGTTATTATTGCTCTATTCATTTTCCTTTTTATTCCGTTTACATTTTCTTCGATGTACGTTATTCCTTCTTTTCTCTTGATATAGAGTCTGGAGTTTTATTAATTTTCCTTATTATTGAGTCTACATTTTCTTCTATGTAAGATATTCATTCTGTTCTCATCATACGGATGTTACATTTTCTTCGATGTACGTTATTCCTTCTTTTCTCTTCACATATATTCTAGGGTTTCATACATTTTTCTTAAAACTGAATCTACATTTTCTTCTATGTATGTCCTTCCTATTTTCTCCTCATACATATTTTAAGGTTTTATAGATTCTCCTACATTTTCTATGTAAATCATTCCTTCTTTGCTCGTGAAACGGATTTTAGATTTTTATACTTATTTTTGTGTATACATTTTCTTCTATGTAAGTAATTTCTACTTTTCTCCTTATATGGATTTTAGGGGTTTATGCATTTTATTTTTTATTGTGTCTACATTTCGTTCTATTTAAGTCATTCCTTCTTTTCTCCTCATACTTATTTCAGGGACTTATACACTTTACTTATTGTGTCTACATTTCCTTCGATGTATGTCATTTCTGCTTTTCTACTCATACGGATTTAAGGGATTTATACATTTTTCACAGTTAGAGAGTTTAAATTTTCTTATATGTAATCATTCATTCTTTTCCCCTTTTATGGATTTTAGGGTTTATACATTTTCTTTATTATTATGTCTACATTTTATTCTCTGTAAGTTATTTCTACTTTTCTCTTTACATATATTTTAGGGATTACACATTTACATTATTATTAGGTCTACATTTTCTTCTATGTGAGTTATTCATTCTGTTCTCTTCATACAGATGTTAGGACTCTATTCAATTTCCTTACATTTTCTTCGATGTAAGTTATTCCTTTGATTCACTTTATATAGATTCTAAGGTCTTATACACTTTCTTTATTATTCCGTCTAAATTTACGTCTACGTAAGATATTCCTTCTTTTCTCTTCACATAGTTTCTAGCCTTTTCTACATTTGGCTTATTGTTCATTCTGTTCTCTTTATACAGATATTAGGGCTCTGTAAGTTATTCCTTCTTTTCTTATTAGATAGATTCTAGAATTTTATACATTTTCCTTATCAGTGCCCCTAAATGTTCTCCTACGTAAAACATTCCCTCATTTCTGCTATCTACGGATTTCATGGTTTCATACATTTTCCTTATTACGTCTACATTTTCTTCTGTTACATTTGATACGCCATGAGCAGACATGAATGTACGTGGGAGATTCATGGATGATTGAAGTTTAAAAGCAATTAAATTCGACCTAGCTAACCGAACGCTCCTCTGTGGCCAAATCGGTAAAAGCACGTCAGGCTATATGACGGTTCCGTATAGGATACAGGTTCGAATCCTGTCGGAGGACGAATATTTTCTATGAAGATTTCTCGGACATTCAGCCCGATAAATTTTATTCAATACTGTTTATTATGAACAGAGCATTTACTTAAATATTTGTATCTTTAAAAAGAATGTATAAACGTAAAAATGTCTTTAAATAATTGTCAGACTTTGTCCATTTTCACAATGTGTGACGTCATTTGTTTACTTTTGATATGCCATGAGCAGACATGAATGTACGTGAGAGATTCATGGATGATTGAAGTTTAATGGCAGTAAATTCGACATTGCTAACCCTGTGGCGAAATCGGTAAAAGCACGTCAGGCTATATGACGGTTCCGATTAGGATACAGGTTCGAATCCTGTCGGAGGACGAATATTTTCTATGAAGATTTCTCGGACATTCCGGACGGTAAATGTTATTTAATACTGTTTATTATAAACAGAGCATTTACTTAAATATTTGTATCTTTAAAAAGAATGTTAAACATAAAAATGTCTTAAAATAATTGTCGGACTTTGTCCATTTCATAATGTGTGACGTCATTTTCTTCTATGTAAATCATTTCTTCTTTTCTCATCATAATCTATGTGGCTAGGATCAAAGTGTAGTATCTGCGCTTTGTGAGCTGCCGAGTCGGGTGTCTGTCGAACTCTCTGCTTGCAGAGAGGAACCCGGACGAGGCTCTGCCGAAGGGTAGGGTTTCGTTCAGGGAGGTTGACGGAACTAGCACGCTTGGACGGGTTTAGATGGGTTTTATTTTTGGCTGGGCCTACGGGCTCAGACATACCCACATTAAAAAGGCCTTGTGCCACATTCAATTCCTGTGGGTGAATTGATAAATACCATCTATTGTTTTATACATTTTCCTTATTATTGCGTATAAATCTTCTTCTGTGTAAGACTTCCTTCTTTTCTCTTCATAAGGATTTTAGAATTTTATACATGTTCCTTATTATTGAGTCTACATTTACTTCGATGCATGTCACTCTAAATTTTCTCTTCACATACATTATACGGTTATATACTTCGTTTTTTTATTTATTTTTCTTATGAGTATATTTTCTTCTATGTAACACGTTCTTTCTTTTCTTCTCATTCAGATTTTAGGATTTTATACATTTTTCCTTTTTATTATTTATTATTTTCTGTGTAAAACATTCCATGTTTTCTGCTCACACGGATTTTAGGGTTGTACAAATTTTCCTTATTATTACGTCTACATTCACTTCGATGTAAGTTATTCCTTCATACAGATTTTAGGGTTTTATAAATTTTCCTTATTATTACGTCTACATTCACTTCGATGTAAGTTATTCCTTCATACAGATTTTAGGGTTTTATAAATTTTCCTTATTATTACGTCTACATTCACTTCGATGTATGTTATTCCTTCATACAGATTTTAGGGTTTTACAAATTTTCCTTATTATTACGTCTACATTTACTTCGATGTAAGTTATTCCTTCATACAGATCTTAGGGTTTTATAAATTTTCCTTATTATTACGTCTACATTCACTTCGATGTAAGTTATTCCTTCATACAGATTTTAGGGTTTTATAAATTTTCCTTATTATTACGTCTACATTCACCTCGATGTAAGTTATTCCTTCATACAGATTTTAGGGTTTTACAAATTTTCCTTATTATTACGTCTACATTTACTTCGATGTAAGTTATTCCTTCATACAGATCTTAGGGTTTTATAAATTTTCCTTATTATTACGTCTACATTCACTTCGATGTATGTTATTCCTTCATACAGATTTTAGGGTTTTACAAATTTTCCTTATTATTACGTCTGCATTTACTTCGATGTAAGTTATTCCTTCATACAGATCTTAGGGTTTTATAAATTTTCCTTATTATTACGTCTACATTTACTTCGATGTAAGTTATTCCTTCATACAGATGTTAGGGTTTTACAAATTTTCCTTATTATTACGTCTATATTCACTTCGATGTAAGTTATTCCTTCATACAGATTTTAGGGTTTTATAATTTTTCCTTATTATTACGTCTACATTCACTTCGATGTAAGTTATTCCTTCATACAGATTTTAGGGTTTTATAAATTTTCCTTATTATTACGTCTACATTCACTTCGATGTAAGTTATTCCTTCATACAGATTTTAGGGTTTTATAAATTTTCCTTATTATTACGTCTACATTCACTTCGATGTATGTTATTCCTTCATACAGATTTTAGGGTTTTACAAATTTTCCTTATTATTACGTCTACATTTACTTCGATGTAAGTTATTCCTTCATACAGATTTTAGGGTTTTATAAATTTTCCTTATTATTACGTCTACATTCACTTCGATGTAAGTTATTCCTTCATACAGATTTTAGGGTTTTATAATTTTTCCTTATTATTACGTCTACATTCACTTCGATGTGTTATTCCTTCATACAGATTTTAGGGTTTTATAAATTTTCCTTATTATTACGTCTACATTCACTTCGATGTAAGTTATTCCTTCATACAGATTTTAGGGTTTTATAAATTTTCCTTATTATTACGTCTACATTCACTTCGATGTATGTTATTCCTTCATACAGATTTTAGGGTTTTTACAAATTTTCCTTATTATTACGTCTACATTTACTTCGATGTAAGTTATTCCTTCATACAGATCTTAGGGTTTTATAAATTTTCCTTATTATTACGTCTACATTCACTTCGATGTAAGTTATTCCTTCATACAGATTTTAGGGTTTTATAAATTTTCCTTATTATTACGTCTACATTCACCTCGATGTAAGTTATTCCTTCATACAGATTTT